CACACACACACACGCACACACACACACACACACACACACACACACACACACACACACACACACACACACACAGTTACCCACTTGGGCATACAAAAGCACAAAAAAATAACCCGCTCTTACACACACATTCATTCTCTCTCTCTCTCTCTCTCTCTCTCTCTCTCTCTCTCTCTCTCTCTCTATCTCACACACACACACACACACACACACACACACACACACACACACACACCTGTCTATCTAGCTAGCTAGTTAGTTAGCTAGCTAGCGAGTTGTCTAGCTAGCTAGATAGCTCGCTAGCTATCCGTAATGAGGGTGTGTATGGTCGTTCGTCTCTATATGTGCCGTGCGACTGACTGGCGACCAGGTCAGAGTGTAGTGCGCTTTTCGCCCCAGGTCAGCCGGGATAGGCTCCTGCACCCCACTGCGACCCTGTTCAGGATAAGTGCTGTTGAAAAAGCGATGTGTGTGTGTGTGTGTGTGTGTGTGTGTGTGCGTGTGTGTGTGTGTGTGTGTGTTTTATCCCCTGACCACAGTTTCGACATATTGGCATACGTGGGCGTTCCAACAAATCAGCCTCTGACCCATTCACCCACTGGCCCGTGACTAAATGGGCGCTTGTGCTGCTTCCAAGTTGCTCAACAACACCGTTCCTCCTTGTGGGCCACTCGTTTGACCCTTTTTGACCGACTGATGCAGCCTCACTGTTTGCGGACTGGGACTTAGGTTAAATATGATTGAGTGCTGGATTATTTCTTTTGCCGCTGTACCAAGGACTATTATATTGTTGTCATACAGCAGCATTGAAAGCTGTAGTTAACATTGGCCCAAGCAGTACATGGGTCGAGTAGATTGTCGTTCACTTCCATGAGACACGCACAGTGGTCTCTCTTTTTTAATTTTTTTTAAATTGAATTAACTTTTATTTGACTTGGAGAGCTTTGTATGCGCAAATGAGTGTGGAGTGAGTGTGTGAGGTAAAGTGTCTGTGCAGGTGAGTGAGGATGAGAGAGTGTGTGAAAAAGAGAGTGTGGGTGTGTGTGAGTTGAAGCGTGTCTGTGGGTGACTGAGCGAGTATGTGCATATGGGAGAATGCATCTAAATATATGATTGTGTGTGTGTGTGTGTGTGTGTGTGTGTGTGAGAGAGAGAGAGCGAGTGTGAGTGGATTTGATTGTGTATGATATTGTGTGTTTTTGCACGAATGAGTGCGTGAGTATGCGTGCGTGTGTGTGTGTGTGTGTGTGTGTGTGTGTGTGTGTGTGTGTGTGTGTGTGTGCGCTAGCATTAAAGACCATTAGAGTACTGTAGTACTGTAGTCAGTATTGTTCCAGTTGGAAAACAAAACAATATAGGATCAAAGTCCCAGTACGGCATCACAAATATATGGATTTGAAGACAATCGAGTGATGTCATCGGAGATTAGGAGATTTAGATTTAAATGTTACAAGAAATAATGTCAAATTGTAAAATTATAAGAATGTCCACATCATAAATCAACAAGATCATAACTGCACTCCTATAACTCATCTTGATATTAAGAAAAAAAAACATTAAAGAAATGAAGTAGTCATCAAAATGCAGTAATATATTTGTAAATACAATAAACTAAAAGTAATTAAACAAATAAAACTGGCAAGAACATATATTGAAATTAAAGTTCTATATTTTAATAAAAGTAATGACACATATTATGAAAATACAATTTTACATTGTGAGGAAAAAAACAGAGAAGTTACACAATAAAGCATTTTGGAATATTTGTACCGATTATTAGCGTTCACATCATGTTTTTGAAAATACAAATATTGCAAGCGGACTCATATGTTGTCACCTGACGAGGACTTCTACTGTTAAGTCACTCAAAATAAATATTTGGGAATAAAAATAAAAATAACCATGATCACGAACATCACTTACACAGCACACACTTAAACAAACACTCAAGGAGGGGATTTCCAGAGCGGCACAACGCGTCCACCCATGCTCAACCTCCGTAGCTGCAGGCTAGAAAGCCTCAAGACAAGCTTGCATTCCACGTAGGTCTGCTCACATGACTTGAGGTACATGGACAGTATTCGGTACACACACACACACACACACACACACACACACACACACACACACACACACACACGCACACATTTGGAGTTTAGCACCCAATACAGCAAAAATCCAAGCCCTGTTATGGGTTCCAGGTTTATGGTCACGCTATTTCGCTATTTGTTTTTTGTGCACAGTTATAACTATTTATTTGTCTGCTTCTCATTTATTTACAGTGTATTTCCACTCCCAGCCACTAGATGGCTGCACACTATTACGATTGACGCTAAATTTGAAAGAAGAGTGAAAATGGGTATAATATTTTTGTCTTATCTATTGCTCCTGCTCTCTCTCAATGTTTTTGAACGCATTTGTATTATTTTTAAAAGAGTGTTTAAACCTTAAAAATATGCTGTAAATGCTATAAACATGCTGAGGGATTATTTCAATAATGTATGTCTAAATTGCGGATTTCACTTTTCGTGGGGGCGTCTGGAACTTAACCCCCGCAATGGAGAGAGGTTTACTGTACACAACTGACATTTTTATATTACATCACATTAGCAAAATAAACCCGTTTTGAGGGGGCGGCCCTGCATGCCCTAAATGTATGTTTGGGTTGTGCAATGTAAAGCAGGGGTGTCAAACTCAATTTCGTCGCGGGCCACATTGTCCTGACGGTTTCCCTTGGAGGGCCGTTATGAATTTTGGGAAAGCATGAAAATGTTTAATCACCTCCACATATTACATACACAGTGCACGACAAATTGATGAATAACTAGTTTTAAAATCAGAAGTCAAGAATAACGACCATTATTGTGGATTACATATATGACAATTTGAAATTTTTGTTCAGACTTTAGCAAGGATCATGGAACTTGACATGCTTGATTTGCTTTCGCGGGCCACATAAAATGATGTGGCGGGCCAGATTTGGCCCACGGGCCTTGACTTTGACACCTGTGATGTAAAGGAATTAATGTTGTTGGGTTTTTTTTTTAGGTATAGGCCGTTACCAATTCTGATATTTGGCTGAATAAAATTCCGATAACCAATTGATTACTTGATTAACAATTAAAGAATATATATGATGATTAAATAACGAGTTTTTTGGTCCCTTAACATTTACACCCCCAAAAAAACAAAAAAAACAACAAAAAAACAGAACAATGATCTGATTTACAATATGTTCTCCTTTATTTGTTTCACTGTACAACAGAGAGAAAAATCGGCCAAAATTGGCCGCCTTTTTTTTTTGTGCCTATTTTTTGGGGGGTGGTTGATCTTTATAAGGTGTAGGGGGG